CTAAGCTGACATTAATTCTTGAACAAATCATGTAAGACATTATTAAAGAGATGGTTCCTGAGCATTTAGGGGGAAAAGTAATGGTTGCTAAGGCTGTTTTTGTGTTTTAATCAAGAATAAGTATTACCATTCTCACCTCTCACCTCAGTTACTTTTTTGACAGGATAACTAGACTGTTTAATAATAATAAAGATGATGATGGCTAGCACTTATAGAACATTTTAAGTTTTGACAAGCATTTTTAATCTATTATTTCCTTTTATCCCCATAACAACCTTATGAGTAGACATTATTTCTATCTCCATTTTACAGTAGAGGAAAATGAGTTTAAAATGATTTATCGAGGCAGCTAGGTGGTGCAGTGGATAGAGCACTGGCCATGGAGTCAGGAGGACCTGAGTTCAAATCCGGCCTCAGACATATAACACTCACTAGCTATGTGACTCTGGGCAAGTCACTTAACCCCTCATTGCCTCATATTTAAAAAAATAATAATAAATGATTTATCCAAAGTCTCAGAATAAGCATCAGTACTGAAATTCTAATCCAATTCCCCTGGCTCCAAATCTAGTACTCTTTCCACTATCCAACATTGCTACTCTAGATCAGATGAAGGTTAAGTAATTTTTGAGGCTCCTTTCAAATCTTCCTCTGAAATTCCACTCTTTGGGTTCTAGATATCTAAAAGATAGGACCCCTTTGTTCTAGTCCCTGGATCTAATAAGCCAAAAAGCCAGGTATGGTTGAAAGAAGAGATGGTCAGAAAGGAACTGATATGTGGAAGGTAAAGAAGATGCTTAACCTGGGGCAGGGAGAGAACAGACATAGAGGAGCTGAGGCCCAACAGGAGAATTTCAGCTCCCTACATACATAATTCCTTTGTAACATTCTTGGTTATCTTTCCTTTTCTCTGGGCTTCTTTCCCTCCTCTCCCCCATCCCTCTTCTCATCTCACTTCTGTTCTACTTCATGCTAATTTGGAATCTAAACTTGATATTCAATTATGATTTCAGATTGCTCTTCCCACACTCCCTCTAATAATTTCCCTCTCTTTATATCCATTCTCAAATGCCCACAAAGCCTTAATATTTATCCCATCCCTGGCTTCAATCTGTGGGGTTGTCCCTGGGTCAGTCTATGGGATGCCTCTGCCTTCGCTGGAGACTTAATAAAATAAAACCTAGCTCATCCTTACCCCTTCCAACTCAGAAAGGTAGGGTGGCTTTCTACTGCCCACGGGAAAAAAAGTCTGGACTCCTTGGCCAAGTATACATAGTAACTATTTCCTGATACCTATATTTCTACCTAATATATCTTTATTTCCCTGTGTCAACCTCTTCACATAACTTTCAAACTCCAGCTTCTGAAATTACCTACAGAATATCCTCCAACATTTCTGTCCTCCCTTCTCTTCTTCCATTGTGTTTCTATTCTTTTCAAATTCACTTTTCTCTGGAGAGGAACTTTGTTCATGTTCAAGACAAGAGATAGACTACATGATCTCTAAAGTGCCTTTCATGTCTAAGATTCTATCATTATCTTCTAAGCTTTCCATGACTGATCTCATTTTTGCAATCGATGTCTCAATAGCTAATGTTCCCTCTGCATTGAAAACCTCAACACTCTGGATTTTATTGCTTTGATGAGACTGATTGAGAAGACATTCTTTGAAAAAGAAACCAGAGCTGTGTGGGACCAAAAGGCACCTTTCAATGTCTTATCAGATAGCTCTCCTAGATGTCCTGCCAGACATTGGGCCATCTCAGCCACCTCCCATAGCCCCAGTAATATCATTCCAAAGTCTGAACCCCTACCACCTCTACTTTACTTACCTCCTGTCTCTGGGATTCTGTCTCTTTCCTGGTGGGTATATCTGTGTTGCCCTGGGATGGAAGTCTTTTCTCTCCTACTTGGATTCCCACCCCAGACCACTTCACACTGTTATTCTTTGAGCTGAGTTGCCTATGGACTCAGACTTTTATAGAGTCCTCAGTATCATCTTCAGAGAAATGGTATGTTCTGCTCTTAAAGGGCAGAACAAGGAGAGAGGGCACAAATAGGTAAGCATATAGAAGGTGGAGGAGCTGGTTGTGGTTCTCAAAGGATTTTCTCCTTCAGGCCCAGTGGGAAACTTCAGGAATGGTCCTCTGAGGCAGAAGAGCTAATTCTGACTATTCCCAAATCTGAGTTATTGTCATAGCATCGAATGATTTCTGGCTTCTGAGGGAGCTCTTGACTGGGAAAGAGCTCTTGTAGAGATGGATGTGAATGTTTTGTATCATCAAAAGATGATACGTCTGTGCTTCCATAAATTACATGCCATGGGGCTGAAATAAATAGTGAAGCCTCAGGTGAGGTTATGGAGCCTCCTTAGGTATAATGGGAATGAAAGAGAACGTAATTCAGCAATTATAATAGCTTGAGTTCAATTGAATTAGGATCCATTGAATTAAGAGCAAAATTTATTATCAGCAGTTTGGGGAGTCATGGGGTAAAACCACATGCTCACTAACACAACTAAAATCAGTCAATCAACGAACATTCATTAAGCACATACAATATGCTAGATATTGCACTAGGCTTGGGAAATCCAGAAACAAAAGTGAATCTCCCTGTTCTCTAAAAACTCCCACCTCATCAAAGGTAGAATTTTCAGGGATCAGGAATGGCTTCATGTAGAAGGTGGCATTGAAGTTGAGCTTTGAATAAAACAGGATTCTCAAAGTCAGAGATGAGGAAGTTATGCTTCCCAGGCACACAGACAGGTTGTGTAAGGCACAGAGAGATGGGTCATGGAGAGCCCTGTGTGAAGAAAAGCAAGAAGGTGAGTTTGGCTTGACAAGAGAGTGGGTAATGGAGGGTAATGTATAAGGCTTGAAATTTCTGTGGGAGGCAGATTGTGCTGGACTTTGAATATCAGAGGAGGTTTTATTTGATCCTAGAGGTAATAGGCATCTATTAGCTGGCAGCTAGGTGGCACAATGGATAGAGCACTAGGCCTGAAATCAAGAAGACCTGAGTTTAAATTTGCCCTCAGATACTTACTAGTTATGTGACTTTGGTTAAGTCATTTACTTAATCCTTATTTACCTCAGTTCCTCATTTGTAAAATGGGGACACATTGGAAAAGGAAATGACAAACCACTCCGGTATCTTTGCCAAGTAAACCCCATGGATTCAATGGGGTCAAGAAGAGTTTGATATAACTAAATAACTGAAGCACAATCATCTATCTAATATTGTTCTTGCAAAGGAGGAAAAGTTGTGGTAATACTCTTTCCAACAGATCAATTCATCACCCTTGTGAAACCCTAGACATTTCCTTCCTTGGCCACCACTCCCATATATTTGTTTTTTCTCTTCCCACCCCCTTACCTACAGAATATAAATTGTTTGATATTAGAGACTGCCACTAACACACTTAGGAAGTGCTTTATGGATGCTTTTTATCATTCATTCAGTCATTGATTCATTCATGCAGGTGACTCCTAGATTTTATGTATACAACCTTAGTCTTTCCTGAGCTCCAGTGATATATCACCAACAGCTGGTTGGACATTTCATACCAAATGTGTGTATAAATCTCGAACTCGACATGTCTGAAACAAAACTCAAAATCTTTTCCCCCAACTCTACCTCTCTTCCTAACTCCCCAATTTCTGTTAAGGTCACTACCATCCTTCTAGACACCAAGGTTTTAAACCTCAAACCTTGACTCTTTACTCTCCTTCACCTTCATATAAAGTACTCTGCCCAAATCTACAACTACAACATCTCTTGCATCTATCCCCTTCTCTCTACCCACTTGATCACCACTCCAGGCCCAGCACTCCACCCACTGCCCTACCTAGCTAGCTCCCCAAGCCCACTCTGTGCTAGTCACTGTGCTAAGCACTGGGCATGCAAAGAAAGGAGGATACAGTCCTTGCCCTTAGAGAGCTCACAATCTATCATGCCCAACAAATGTGTACAAATAAGTTATATATCAGGTAAACAGGAATTAATTGACAGAGAGAAGATACTGGACTTAAGAGAGATTGAGAAAGGTTTCATGTAGAAGGTAGGATTTTAGCTGGAATTTGAAGGAAGCCAGGAAACAGAAATGAGGAAGGGAATTCCAAGCATGGAGGACAACCAGAGAAAAATGTCCTGAGACATAGACTGTGTTGTTCTGGAAACAGCATGCAGGCTTTCTGACTGCTTGCCACAAACCAACACACGCTAAACTCCTGGACTTCCAGACAAGCAGAATTTTTTGTCTCTTTTTCATTGTTATCAGAGTCTACCTTGTCTTCTGTTTTGACAGGGACAAGACATTGCTGCTAAATTACAATGTCCATGATCACCCTTTAGTATCCATCAGCACTACACAAAATACAAAATCAAGGAAAGTGTCTTAAGTGAAATTGTTCAAAGGCTGACTTCAGAAAAACCTGGAAAGACTTGTATGGTCTGATGCTGAGTGAAGTGAGCAGAACCAAGAGAACGTCGTACACAATAACAGCCACGTTGTTCAATGACTAATATTGATAAACTTAACCCTTCCCAGCAATACAAGGATCTAAGACATCTCCAGAGGCCTCGTGATAGAAAATGTTATCCACATCCAAAGAAAGAACTATGGAAGTTGAATTGCTATTTTTTTTCCTCTTCTGTTGAGTTTTGTTTCCTCTTTCTGATGGTTTAATAGAACAGGATGCAGGAAGGGAGGAAACGGATGGGGTACAGGACAGGACGCAGGAAAGAATGTAACAGACAAGGCACAAGGAAGTAAGGAAATCACTTAATTAGATTTGTACTTTTCATGAATAACAATGTTACTGTTGCTTGATCCAGTACTATATAAGCCTGAGCCCTCAGATCAATCAACAGAGTTTGTTCTTCACTGCTCTCACCTGGCCCGTGATTCTTTCTCTCTTCACACTCTGCCGGCATCAGACCACGGCCAGGGACGCAGGCACTCCTGGCAATGATAGGACAATTTTCCTAACTTTTGGCAGAAAGGTGACAGATTTAAGGTGTATTTTCAGACATAGACAATATGAAGTCAATTAACAAGCATTTATTAAGTGCTATGTGTCAGGCACCGTACTAAGTGATAGGGATATAAGGATACACTTAGTATCTCTCTCTCTCTCTCTCTCTCTCTGTCTCTCTTATTTCTCTTTTCTTTTTTGCTTTTTTTTTTTTTGAGATTGGGTCTCCCTATTTCTCCCAGGTTGAAAGTACAGAGACCACTGATGACTTGATTTCACTTCTAATTGGCAAGGCAGCCTTGACCCGCTTCACTTCCAACCTGGGCCACCAATCTTAGGCAGCCTGGTGACCCATCCGCTGTCCCTAGGCTCACCATATTGGTGCCAGACTTAATGTGGATATACAATCGGCTTGGCCTACTGCACTTCAGAACTCCCAAGCTCAAGTGCTCCAACGGCCTCAGTCCTCTCATTTAACAGAGATCATTCTATGGAACATTCTGCCTCTGCTTAATCAATGAGCTCTCTCCACAACTGCTTGTAACAATTGTTGTTGCTAGTCCTTCATACCTGAAGAGGACCAATGACATTACAATGTTGGGGTCAGGGTACAATGTGTTGGACTGTGGCTGATCAGTCTAATATGAGCTGGGAAGGCTCTAGTACAGGTTGGGTGCAAATAATCCTTTGAGCATTTGGGATAGAGCTGTCTCTAGATTTGTGCATCTCTCATTTCCTTTGTCTTACTGCAATTCTGCTTTGCTCATATAGGACAGCGCTTTCTTTAATGTGAGCACAACATGCTGGGCTGTCCTGTGTCAGCATCTCCCATGTCTCATAACTAACACCAGAGTTCTACAGAGAGACCTTAAGAAGGTCCTTGTACTGCTTCTTCTGACCTTCTTGTGAGTGCCCGACTTGTGTGAGTTCTTTGTAACACGGTCTTTTTAGGTAAGCTTGTGTTTGGTAAGGTTAGTCTGTCGGAGTTATGTCTCCAAAGTAGACTTCGAATGCTTGGCAGTTCAGCTCCAGAGAGGTATTTGTCAAACTAATAATGGGTCTATAATCCCTGAATTTATCCATTAAAGTTATTTTTAGGGCCAGTGCTCTATCTGCAAAATCCTACTATTTTTGAGCTTTAAGGGGTAGGGACAAATAGCGGTGTATGATTAGGAGGAAGCTGGAAGATAGGGGTGAGGATGTGTGGAGAGATGATCAGGGCAACTAGGGGAGGGCAGCTTTATTGGGGAGGCTAGAAGAATTAGGGAAGAAAAGAATGAGAGTTCCCTGGGGAGTTGGGGTTACATTGGTTCCCTCTAGTGGCTTAGAAATATTTTAGTTACTGTTTATTCTTATACTCTCCCATCCTGTCACATTCTCTAGAACTTCCTACTTGTTGGAACCCAAAGTCTCTAAGCCCAGATGCAATCTGGGGAGAAAATGATCTTTTCATTAAGATTATACAATTTGAGTTTGGAGACTGTTACCACTGTAGGTATCATCACCTCCATTTGATAGTCAGGGAAAGAGATATTAAATAACTTACGTGAGCTCACAAAATTAATTGGTTTGGAACTAGAAATTGAACCCAATTATCTTTTTAAAAAGTCTTATTGATGATTTTTATTTTTTAGATCGCAGCAATTTCTTAATATAAATCCCCAAACCACTGAACCATCCCTTCTGTCAAAGAAAAACAGAGAAGAAAAACTGACTGAGAAAACAACCATGTCTGTCAGCATATATAATATTCTATATTCATTATATTCCATCACTTTCCAAAAAAGAGAACCGTGTCTCACCATCTGCACCCCAGGACCAAGCTTGGTCATTATTGTTAATCTGAGTTCATCGATATTTAGGTGTTATTTTGTTTACATTATGGAAGTCTTTGTGTTACATTCTTCCTTCTTCACTCTGTATCACTTCATTAAGATTTGCCATGTTTCTCTGAATTGCTCACATTTATAGAGTTCCACTATTTCCCAACTGCTACCACAGTTGCCACCACAAAGAAGGTTTCTATAAATATTTTGGTGTATATATGGGACCTTCCCCCCACCCCCCATCTTCACCCTTTTTTTTAGTATATAATCAGTAGTAGAATCACTGGAGGAAAACATATAAATATTTAAGTAAACTTTTTAAAAATTCAAATTGTCTCCCAGAATAATTGTGACAATTTAATGATCTGCTAACAATATATTAATGTGCCTGTCTGCCATAGTCCCTCCTAAATTTACTATTTCTATCTTTTAAATATTTGCAAATTTGATAGGTATAAGACAAAACTTGAGAACTGTTTTAATTTGAATTTATATTATAAATTATTTAGAGCATTATTCATATGATTGTTAACAGTTTCTTCTTTTGAAAACTGTTGAACCCAGTTATCTTGACTCTATGCCTAACCTTCTGTCCTCTATACAACTTAAATATTAAGACATGGTCTCTGGATTTGCTGATTTATTTTTCTTTAAAAAAATATTCTGTGTTATAAGAGCTGACCCTCTGGGATGGGGGAGTGGAGGCTTACAGTAGAAAATTTAGGTGGTTAAAAAACAAAAGTATCAATAAAATTTCATTTTTAAAAAAAGATACGATCTCATCATTGTCAGTACTTCTCTAGTATAGATTGCACCTTTCCATGACTCTGTGATTCTCCTTCAAGTTATTACATAAATCCTCCAGGGAAGATCCACTGAACTATTGAGGTCCTCTTTACTTTTTTTTTAATACCTGAAAGACAGTGTTAACATTCTTGGGATGCCCACCTATTTGCTCTCATTCTTGATACATGACCGGCACATTTTGCTTTTTACTCATTAATGTCCTTGATGATATCTTAATACCATGTCTCCCAAATCTAAAACTGAATGCTCCTCAGGGAGCAGACTGATCTCTGAATCTGCCTCTCTAGTAACAGGGAGCAGACCATAGGACCTGGTGACTAGCACATCAAGAGTTGGCATGGACATATAGCCTTCATACCTCACATCATTCCCTAGCAGCCAATTCTCAAAGGAAACTTCCTTCACCTGGCAGTCTTTCCTTGCTCTCCATTCATGCCCTCCCAATCATTAGACAGGTTTATGATCAGGGGCTATGGTGATGGGCTCCTTTTTCCAGCAACAATATTTGATTACTTTGTCCCGAAACTCCTTAGTCTTCACTCCATAAATGATGGGGTTGAGCATGGGAGGCACGAGAAAGTAAAGGTTACCAAGAATGATGTGAATATGGGGTGGGATGCCCTGACCAAACCGATGGGCAAGGAAGGAGAAAAGTGGAGGTGTGTAAGATGTGAGCATCACACAGATGTGTGTGGTGCAGGTGTTGACTGCCTTATGGTGAGCGTCCTTGGAGGAGAGTCGCATCACTGCACGGATGATGAACGCATAGGATGAGCCAATGGCAGCGAAGTCCAGACCAATGACCACCAAGGCGATCACCAGGCCATACATACGGTTGACAGTAGTGTCTGTACACACCATTTTCACCACAGCCATGTGTTCACAATAGGTGGTGGGGATCACCTGGCTTATACAAAATGGCATTTGCTGGAGGAGGACAGGCATGGGAAGGATAAAAATGATGGCTCTCACTAAACTGACCAACCCAATGAGACCTATGCGGCCATTGGAGAGGATGGTGGCATAGCGCAGTGGCTCACAGATTGCCACATAACGATCAAAAGCCATGGTCATCAAAACAGCTGACTGCATGACTGAGATGGAGTGAATGAAGAACATCTGGGTCAGACAGCCTTCGAAGCTGATCTCCCTTTGACCAAACCAGAAAATACACAGTGCTTTGGGAATGGTGGTAGTGGACATGCCCAGGTCAGTGAGGGCCAGCATGCAAAGGAGCAAGAACATGGGCTTGTGCAGTGCACGCTGTGTGGTGATGATGAAGAGGATAGTGCAGTTACCCAGGACAGTGATGAAATACATGGAAGAGAATGGTATTGATATCCAGATGTGGGTATCCTCCAATCCAGGAATGCCCTTTAGGATGAAGAAGGAAGGCCTCACACGGGTAAAGTTGAAGGTGGTCATGATAGGACACTGGTTAGATCACTTGAAGTGGATGACAAAGAAGAAGTATGGTTTTTTTTCCCCTATAAACAAACAAACAGAAAAGTCACAGTGGGAAAAACAAAGATCACAGGATGATAAATTTTGAGCTGGAAAGGACCAATCCTCTCAGTATACAATGAAGGAAATTGAGACTCAGACTTGCCCAGTGTCACACAGATAATAAATGGAAGAGCCAGGAGTCCTTGAACTATACAGCAGGACCCCATCATAACATATTTTATTATCCAAGAGATTTAGATATTCCACAGGTCACATCACTGCAACCCAAATATAACAATCATACACAATAAAAACTAGGTAAAGCAATTAGCCTCTAACGTTATCTACGACTGTGGCCTTACAAGGGGGTTTATTGAATGTCTAACATAAGGAAACAATGAAGGAAAAAGTAGTCACCTTTTTAGACAGGGATGAAATCAAATAATGAATACTTCTAAAAGGGTAAGGCCTTTCTTTACTGTGTTCAGGACATCCTGCTGTTCCTTCAACTAAAGCCCTGTATGAAGTACAATTTCAAATGTCACCTTCTTCAGAAAGCCCCAATCAGTAATAGCCTTCCCCTTCAGATCTAACATAATATTTTATTTATACTTCTTTTATCTACTTGGGTAGTATTTTGAAAATTTTGCCAAATCTTGCCATTTCTACTTTCACATCTCTTGCTCCTGATCCCTTCTCTCCACTCACAAAGATACTCCCTTAGTTCAGACCCTCATCACTCACCACCTAGACTACTGCGACAGATCTCTAATTGGTCTCCTCCCACTCCAGTCCATCCTACAACTTACTGAAAACAATTTGCCTTAAGTGCAAATATTACCATGTTACCTTTCCCCCCAACTCAACCAACTGCAATGATTTTCTGTTGCCTTTAGGATAAAATATTAGCTATTTTTAGCTTTTAAAGTTCGATACAACTTGGCCACAGCCCATTTTTCCAGGCTTATTGGATATTGCTCTCCCTTTTACATCTGTAATCCAGTCAAATTTACCTTCTTTCTGTTCTTCACATATAGCATTGTATTTCCCATCTCTGTGTCTGGTTATTTTATGTACCTAGAACTCACTCCCTCCTTACCTCCAACTCCTTCAGTCCCTCTTGTCCTTCAAGACACAGATCACACACTATCTTCTGCACAAAACCTTTCTTGATCCTTCCAGCAGCTAGTGCATTCCTTCCCAAACTACCTTGGACTTATGTACTTTGTGTATATTTGACTTTAATTCATCTTATATTTATGCTGTATTTTTTTCTATACATGGTTATCTCCCCCATTGGAATGCAAGCTCTTTTTGAGGAGAAGGCATTTCATTCCTTTTCTTTGTATTTCCAGTGCTTCGCACAGTGCCTGACATTGTATAAGGGCTTAATCAAAACTTGTAGGTTGATTGATATTTGTTTAGATGTCATCTCTCTCTCAGAGACCAGGATTGGACCTGTAATTTCAGTGATACAGGGAATTCCAGATGAGGAAACTCCCTCTACAAAAGTAGGTCGGTACTTTCTCTTCAATTTATAGTCATGGGGAATAGCCTAGAGCACTGAGGTTATGTGACTTCTCTGGGGTCACACAGCACGTATTTGTCACAGATAATACTTGAACCCAGGTCTTCCTGGTTTCTAGGCCAGCTCTCTATATACTACACCACAATATCTATCATACTGCATAGGTAAGATCACTGGATGTCTGGCCAGTTCAAATCTGGCCCCAGACACTTATTAACTATGTGACCTTGGGCAAGTCACTTAACCTCTGTCTGCCTCAGTTTCCTCATGTGGAGAATGGAGATATAATAGCTATAACAAGTCTAACATTCTGTCCACATCACTATCTCTCAGGATGGCTGTGAGCCCTAGATTCATGGTTACATAATCCCTTTTATCTGTAAGTTTAAGAAATATGGGATTCTCATTATTGAGAACCAAAGAAGAAAAAAAACCCGAACTGTCCACCTAGAAAACAATAATGTAAATACAGTGAGAGTGTGCACAGGAAATGCTATGCATCTGTTGGTTCCACCAAGGTTTCAGAGAAGAATTCATGTGCCTCAAGATTCACCGATTCATGAGAAGTGATGTTTAACCACACCTCCCCCCAGTGGTACTTTTGTAGTAAAGGTTAAAAAACCCCTCAGGTGTCAGACTTTATATTTAGCCCCATCAAATGTCATTTTTATTCAATCTGGACCATTTTAAATCCTGTCAGAATCCTTGAGTATCTTGATCCTGTTGTCTAACACATTCGCTATCTTCCTCAGCTATATAATCTAGTAATTTGATAAGCATGCTCTCTATGCCTTCATTCAATTCATTGATAAAAATATTGAATGTCTCAAGGTAAATTACAGTTTCCTGAAGGGTCCCAACAGACACTTTCCTCTACGCTGAAAATGATCCAATAATGTCTGCTTATTAGGTCCAGTCGTTCAACCTATCCAGAATCTACTTAATTGTACTATACCCCATAACTCTCCACCTTGTTTGACCAAAAAGTCTTGGGAGACTGTCAAAAGCTTTAACAAAATCCAAGTATATTATGTCTAGGATATAGCTGACTTCTGCATGATTTAAATTTTGCAAGGTGCTTTACATATATCATTTAACCCTGAGCAATTATTGCATGGATTTTACATATGAGAGAGCTGAGGCTCAGAGAGATTAAGAGATTCACCCATATCCACCTATCTAGTCACTCACCCGGTTTTGAACCCAACTCTTTCTGACTCCAAGTCTAGCATTCCATCCATACTACTAAGCTATCTTCATAACGACACCATGTTAAGCAGCAACCTCTTCAGACTGACTATAAAGAAAGGGACCCTATATTGTACATTAGATATTAAATATTAATATGTTCATATAATTAATAAATTATACATTCCTCTATTTATATAATATAATTTTAAACTATAGATTATTTATATATTAAATATATTTACATTATATTAATATTAGATATAATGAATATTTTAAAGAGGAAAGAGGAAGACAATTGGTAACAATGCTTGAAAGGAAAATAAGAATGGAAGAGTGACTCTGGCAGAGATACAAGCTCCCAGCTCAGAAATGACCAGAGAGGGGAAAGTTAAGACAGAGCTCCTTAAAGTGGAAGATGCAGGATGGGGAGGGAGAGGGAAAGCCTCCCCAAGTAGACACAAGTACACCAAAGGAGTTTGGAAAAAGTGAAAGTGTAGGGGTCAAGAAAAGTATGGCTACATAGCATCTAACTACTACTTATTGACAGGGGTAAATCATGAGCTATGGATTTGGGAAGGAGGAAGGGTACTTTCTCAGCTCTCCCCTGGCCCTCTCTATCCAAACTACTGAGTAATGGATTGGAGGAAATCTGAGAAGGAAATGTTCAGGGAGGAGGGAAACCTTGGGGAGAAACGGTTTGGGGAAGTGGAAATAGCATATGATGGAAAAGACTGAGTTCCTCTAGGTAAGATACTGGAACCCAGAGAATAGACTAGGGGGAAGAGTGCAGTATGAATGTCAGCTCCACATATCCAGCATGTGAGGCATTGCTTCAAATAAATACCAGGGCTTTGTAGAGGTTACTTCATGGGAGATCTGACCTGAATAAAGAGATGGCTAGCACCATATTTGGGGGTGGGTGGAGGGCAGAAAAGACCTTGAAGAAGGGGAGGTGAAGGAGAGCACCAACTCGTGTCCTCTCCCCCAGTACTTACTTCAAGATGAGGCTGAGATGATGGTCATAGAGCATGAGTTGGGTTTCAGCACCCCTCAATGGGTATGAGTGCATAGGTGTTCATGTGTGTCTCAGTATCTATTTCCCCGAGTCTGAAAATAGCACAAACACTCCACAAGGACTCACCCACTCCACAGATGCAACTGGACATCCAGTCAGATCCAGTAAATAACCTCAAGTAGTATCCCTGGGGAAGCCAAAATTAGCTCACTCCCTGGGGAGCCATAAATAGAGGCTGAAAATAGTGGCTGGAAGTCACCTTGGGATGGGCTAAGAAATTCTCAGGGAATTTTCCATCCCAGATTGCTAAAACCATTCACAGCAGAGTTGCTAGTACTCTGACTTCTCCCCAAGGATGGGTAGCACAAAGCAGGGAGGGAGCGAGGCTAAGTAGGTGAGGAAGGGTTAAGTAGATATTGATGTCTATTCTTAATCTTTTCCCTACTTGTACCTTCAAGACTCAAAACCCAAAGTTGCCAACTGAGGCACTGGAGATCCATGGAATCAGAGATATAGTTCAACTCTCTGCCCAGGGTAGCACTCCCTAACGCGAAGCTCTTTCTGCTTGAAGGCAACCAAGCAATTGAGCTCTTTCACTATCTAACAATGCATTGTTGGGCAGCCTTTTTTATTAGTATTGGGTTCTTTACTTTGGGCCCAAATCTACCTGCCATTGTTCCATCTCAGAAGGAAGGGATCCTCCTGTTTCTAAAGGGCTCATCTATATTTCCTCTTAGAACAGAATCTATTTCTCTAGTTTCTTCAAGAAACTAGTCTGCTACCAAAGTAAGCTAAACCAAACCAAGCCAACAAGCAAAAATCCAAATTGGAATGAAATTAGCAATATCATTATTTTGGATACAGAGAGAGCCTGCATCTAGCCCTTTTGGGGTATAAGGCAAAATAGTGAAATTGCAATAAATTGCATTCCTGAATAAGCAAGAAAACTAAGTATCCTAAGAAGTTTTCTTTATCTTCTAAATGTTTTTCCCCCATTTGCCTATGGATGGCCTTGAGGCATTCTTCTTGGCAGAAGAATTTACAGCTTTTCCTTGGGATTTTGCATATGAATGCTGACCTAAATGAAGGAGTGAAGGTGGCAGGAAGTAGGGAATTCAGGATCTTAATGTTGAAGAGAAAAGGCCTGAACTTAACAATATAGTTATGTATGCATGTATACATTCTGTAAAAAGAAATATGAACTTATTTAAATCAATAAAGGAAACATAAAATTTATACTTGCGGAAAAACCTAAAGAGCAAACATATAGTCTTATTAAGAAATGGCATGGAAATACGGATCTGACATTATAGAAATATGATGCTTCAGTCATAATGGTTTTCTTTTTAGGCAATTGGGGATAAGTGATTTGCCCAGGGTCACACAGCTAATAAGTGTCAAGTGTTTGGTCTGAGGCTGGATTTAACTCAGGTCCTCATGACTTCAGGCCAGTGCTCTATCCACTGAGCCACCTAGCTGCCCCTTGAAGTCATAATTTTAATGACACCAATACAAATTTCCACCTATATGTGTGTATATGGATATATGGATAGGTATATATATATATATATATATATATATATTATATATATATATATGTATACATATGGATATATACATGGAGATGCATACATACACATGTGTATACACATACACACTAAGGTTTTGGATTTGGTTAAGTCATTCTTTCCTTTATTTCATTAAGCAGTATAAAAGCAAATCTCCACTTTGAGCAGCTCTTACCATCTCTAGAAAGAATTTAAGAAAATGTTAGAATTCTTGTACTTGTTTTTGTTATGGGAGAAACATCTCCTCTCTAAGTTCATGTGGTAGATAATTGCTTCCAAATATATATCTACCACAACACAAAAATTATGGAGGTAATACTATGTTCATGAATAGGTTTAGGCCTCTGAGAAAACCTGAACAATCATATGGATTCTGACAAGGTTTCTTACAGGCAAAATTGCATCAGGGTGACAGAGAAATAATTGATTTACATATTGCAATATTGTATATTCCTCTCAGGCCATAAAAGTTAAAGAGAAGATAGATTCATAATCAATGATATAAAAGTTGAACAAACTTAGTTAACAGTCATAATCTCACACATCCCCTAAGGAAGCAACCTTCATTAAATAAACTCTATAAGTAAACTAAGTCCGATTAAACTACATTTAGAGGATTCCCAAAGAGACTGATAGAAGAGGAAGGTTTAGATATTTCCAAGGTGTCAGGCACAGTTGAGATTCATCCTCTTACTTCTTATCTAAGGAGTATTTAAGACCACAAGTAAATTTTTACCTCTTATGGGACAGATTTTGGTCAGGTGATATTAACATTAAGATAGCTTTCTAGTTAACTAAAACTTGGAGGAAGAATGACCCTGAGTTCTGAATAACAAAAAGAAATTTTAAAATCCTATAACACTTTTTTCTATTAAGGAGATCTTGCCTTTCTAGTTTTGTTAAACTAAAATAGGCCAAAATTTCAGAGAAATAAGTTTGTGTACTCTTTTTGCCTAGAGATATATTTTACCAATGTTAGGGAGAACTGGGATCTCCTTGGCCAAACCTCCCTTAGGTTGGGAGAGTGAGGTCAGAGGCTATGTATTTACTAGCAATCATTAAAGTAGATAGATTTCTTGTTACATACTGTACTAATGAATTTCTTAAATACACTTCCCTTTGCATGCATGAGTCTTTTATTATCTATTTGATTTTAGTTAGGAAATTTGTATCAGAATTATAACAACAGAACACATATCTATCTATGTGTCGTTGTAGGTACACAGCTATTCAAATATAGACATGTATACACATATACATATATGTGCACACATGAATGCACACATGCACATGTTTTTTTTTGTATTCTGGTTTTGTTATAATGCCTCATTGGCTCCTTGTTCATCAATAACTTTGAATTCGTAAGTCTGATAGGGTCATCCCTGACCCACAAAAGTCATGGGTTCATAGATACAGCACCAACTGAAAAAATTTTCCTATCATAATAGACCAGTGAGCAGATAAGAATATCTCTTCAAAGGAATAGAAATTACACAGTCAAGGCTTGGTGTCTGACCTGCAATTAAGGAAAACTGATTAAAAAAGAAACACTGTAGCTCATGTGATGAAGATAGACCCCTTTCTGTAAATGACGAAGGACTAAAAGTTTCCATTCTCAATCTCTTACTTTTTTCATGGACCTCCTTCCAAAAAGATGGTGCTTACACCGGTGGGAATAGCAATAGACTCCAAACAAGAGATATCTGAGGGGTATACTCCTATTAGAAGTTTCTGGGGGCCCACACCAGGCATGTTCCTGACCCTTTGAGGCCAAGGACCAGGAGGCAGCAACCCAAAATATATTTTCAATTATTTTGGCTTCAAGTGACTAGCTTTTGTGACTAAGATTTTTTTTAAATTTCTCACAATTGTCATCCATTTATTAAATGAGATAAGGTACGTAAAAGTATTTTGTGAACCTCAAGGCATATTAGCTATTGTTTGGAAAGCATTTGATACTACACAGCTTGAAAGGACAAGAGATTCTGATTATATCTTTGAGTAACCAAATTCCCAAATTCTGAATATGGTAGGGGAATATGGGTTCGAACTTGAAAAATTACTTCTCCCAGCCTATTTACCACATTTTCTGTATTAGAGACAGATCATGGTTTCAGACACACGGGCCTATGATGATAGAATATCCAAAGCCATGCCGGTTATTCTTGGCTGGTAATAAACCCTGAACTCGTTGTTGGCCAGGATGTTTACCTGTATTTTGCTGTTTGCATTCTTCTTAGTGCTTTTCAGAATAAGTCATTGAATTGTTGTCCTACTCGCGTTGCTGAACAAACCTGAAAGAATTCACCCAACTGTGCTGGCTAAATGCAGTACAAACTAATGTCACCTAACTCAACTTCTCCCCCAATGCAATAATGATTCTGTATCGCCCTTTATAACAATGGGATTCCAAGCCTTCTCGTCTTTCCTCAAGCCTCCAACACCACCCTATTCCTCTGCTTCTAACAAAGAGCTCTCTGTCTCCCTTTCCTCTGATTTCAGAACCCTTTAACATCATCCCCTCACTAACCTACACTTTTAGATTAGTCTCTGGTTAAGAAGTGGCTCTTCTTATCAAGGCCAATCTCTACATGTATACTCAATTCCATTCCATCTGATCATTTCCAAAAGACAGCCCTTGCTATTATTCTCTTTCTTTTTCTAACCTCAAATCTCTCTACATCTATTGGTTTTTTCCTGCTACATAAAAATGCCAAAATCTTTCCTATCTTACAAAAATAAAACTCACTAGATCCTACCACCCTTACAAGCTCTTCTCCCTTTCTCAGCCAAACTCCTTGAAAAAGCTGCCTACACTCTTTGCCTTTACTTCCTATCCTTTCACTCTTCTAAATCCTATACGTTTGGGCTCCCAATCCCATAATTCAACTAAAATGGTTCTCTCCAAAGTTACTAATTGCAAAATCAAATGGTCTTTTCTCACCCTTCATATTCTTGACCTTTCTGCAGCATTTGACATAACTGACTAACCTCTCCTCCTGGATACTCTCCTCTCTGAGATTTCCTGGCACTTGTCTTTCTTCCTTCTTTGGTGTTCCATCTTATTTTCCTTCATTAGACATCATCTATGTCATGTCTCCCAACTAGGAATGTTTCTATCCTGGGACTCTTTTCTTTTGTTACTACACTGTCTCAATTGATGACTTCATCAGCTCCGATAGATTTAACTATCATCTATCTCCATATAGATATTTCCCAGATCTATATATCTAGTTCTACGCTATTTCCTGAGCTCTAGACCCATATCACAACCCATTACAAGCTCAACATGTCCAAAACAGAACAAATTCTATTTTCTCCAAACCATACCCCTTCCACCCTGAACTTATCTATTTCTATGGATAGCACCATTATTCTTCCATTCACCTATTTTTCACAACTTAATTGTCATACTCAATCCTGAACTCTCACTCACTCCATATATCCAATCAGTTAACAAATCTTGTCATTTCAGCCTGCATAACATGTCTGTTGTGCATACATAGCATTCTCTATATTCACACAACTTTTCAGTTATTACTTATTACTTCTTCCCTGCAATACTGCACTTGCCTCTGTCTCATGTTTCTTCTTACTTCAATCCATCCTCCACATAGCCACAAGAGTGATTTTCCTAAGGCACAGGCCTGACCATGGCACCTTCTGCTCAATCAATTCCAATAGATTCTATCACGGGTAGGATCAAATACAAATTCTTCTGTTTGGTATTTAAAACTCTTCACAACCTGGCCCCATCCTACTGTTTCAACCTTCTTTTATATAACTCCCCTCCATGCATTTTATAGTCCAGATATACTCATCTCCCCTTATACCCTAACACCTACAACTCTGCCTCTCTCCTTCCCAAGGGTCCTCCTTCGAAGATTAACACCTCTTCCACAGTCAGTTTCATGATGGCATGCTCATCCAGGTTCTGGATAATGGACGATACTATACTGCCTTCCCAGTCACCAAGAGAGGGAAACAAGGCTGTCTTGCTCCTATGCTTTTTAGTATGATGTTTTCAACAATGTTGTCAGACACCTTCAATGAGGACTAAAACAGCATCAAAGTCAACTACTACACTGACAGTAAATTATTTAACTTGAAAAGGCTACAAGCCAAGACTAAAGTACAGGGAGAGTTGGTGAATGATTTTTTTGTTTGCAGATGATTATACACTCAATGCAGCTTCTGAGGCTAAGATTCAACAAAGTATGGATTGATTCTCTGCTGCTGGTGTTAATTTTGGCCTAACAATTAACACCAAAAAAACCCCCCAAAACCAGAGGTTCTCCACCAGCCAGTATCACACCATCCACAGGTGGAACCATTAGTTATAGAAAATGGAGAAAAACTGAATGTTGTGAATAAGTTTACTCATCTTGGCAGTATACTTTCCAAGGATGTACACATAGATGATGAGGTTGAGGTATGCACTGCCAGAGTTAGTTCAGTGTTTGGGAGGCTCCAAAAGTGCGGGAGATAAGAGGTAATAGACAGCCTAAAAAATGAAGGTCTACAGAGCTGTTCTGCTGACCTCATTATTATATACCTGTGAAACCTGGACAGTCTGCCAGTGCTATGCCAGGAAAGCGAACACTTCACTTTGAATTGTCTTAGGAAGATTCTGAAGGTCACTGGCAAGATAAGGTACCAGATACTGAGGTTCGTTTCTCAAGCTAAATTGCCAAGCATTCAAACTCTACTACAGTAAATGTAACTCCTATGGGCTGGCCATATTGTTCAAATGCTAAATGCATGTCTGCCTGAAAGACTATTTTATGGAGAACTCATACAAGGCAAGCACTCACATGGAGGCTAGAACAAGTGACATAAGGACACTCTCCATGTCTCTCTGAAGAACTTTGGAATCAATTGTATGACATGGGAGACACTTGTAAATGACTGCCCAGCACGGAGTGCCTGCATCACAGAAGGTGCTGTGCTCTATGATGGAAGCAGAACTGCAGTAGCTCAAAAGAAATGTGAGATGCACATATTTAGGAACATCTCCACTCCAAATGTTCACACGGACTACTTTTGCCCGAGCCTTCCAAGCTCTATTGGTCTGATCAGCCACAGGTGGACACCCTGTACCTTGACTCCAACATAGTGATGCCATTTTGGTCCTCTTTGAGAATGAAGGGCAGCAACCAACCTACCAGCACCTCTCCCAGAGACCTCACAGCCTTGCCATAAAACAGTGTCTGTGGCCTTAGACTTCCTAGTCTGTCAGTGACTCCTTTCCTGTAATAATTTAACTGATCTCTACCTTGAGCTCCAGTCCCGTATTTCCAATTGTCATCGGGATATGGCCACCTTTGATATTTTAAACTCAAAACGTCCAAAACTGAAGAATCATTAAAAAAAATCCTGCTTCTCACCCTTGCTTCTATATGTCTATTGATTTTACCACCATCTTCCCCGGCATTCAAGTTAGAAACTTTGGAGTCATTTTTTTATTCTTCTTGACTCCTTAATGTCTACATAGAAAAGTTTCAAGGTTCTGTCATTCTGTTTTTATAATCTCTCTTATAACCACTTCCTTTTAGCCACATTTTCATAACATGAGTCCCTTAATTAGGGATTAATTATTCCACCTCATTCTCGTTTGTTAGACATCATCTATGTCATATCCTCTAACTATGGATGTACTTAACTAGAGATTCACTCATCTGAACTATGAGAATAGCTTCCTAACTGGTCTCTTTGCTTCCATACTCCCCTTTCCAATACATCCTTCACAGTAGTTTCCCAATATACAGACCATGTTACATTTCTCCTCAGAAATCTTTAGTAGCACCCCTTGGCTGTGATCTGGGCTATGAGGTCCAATTTGTAAATTTGGTAATCCAGGCATGGAAGAAGATTGGCATGAGTGTCTGACATGGGATTATAATGACATCTTGAAGTTCCTTTTTCTTATAGACTCATCAGGCATCTTTGTGAGAAATAAAACATAAAAGACGTCACATTACTCTGGACTGCAGGGTAGGGAAATGGGAAGCAGAAATATGGGAAATGACCTAAGAGATGGACAAGAGTATGACAGATGGAGAGAAGCTTCTGAAGAGGGGTACCTCAGGCTTTAAAGAGACCAGTTAGACAATCCTACTTGTTGTTTTTTTCTTTTCTAGTCTACAATTACTGAGGGCTAATCAGTAACTCAGTAACCCCAGCTACTAAGGGTAGGGATTGAGGCCTGCCAAAAGTAAATTCCCTGATGTGAGATAAGCCTGAGGCAGCTCTGCAATCTACCTCTGAGGGTAGATATCAAAGTGGGGAGGAGTCAGAATGCGAGGGGAACATAAGGAGAAAGGCATAAACCACCAAAGATTTCAAGAGGAAGAAAATTCAGTTAAAAAACCTAGAGCACAAGCAGACATATTAACAGGAAAGATGCTAAAATTAGGATGACTTCTAGAAGCAACTTCTTCATTTCACTTCCTATTCAAAGCTGGCCCTCTTTCTGTTCCTTCTACCAGCTTCCATTGCGTGTTTCTTTCAGTGACTTGCATTCCACATTCCATATTCTATCATGAGAATCTCTATCTGTTTCCTCTTTTCACCCCATCCCCAACCCCTAATTGCCCTTCTTCATGCCATCCTGTATTTCCCATCTTGCACTCTTCAGATGACCCTGACTCTGTGCCTGTTCCTCACATTGTCCCTTTCTTCAAGTTATCTCTTCTTTTCACTCCACACCTTCTTCCCCTTGTTTTTCTATACTCCCTCCTCAAGACACCTCCTATTTTCCCATTTCCTTTCTTGTCATATCATTCTCTATCTATGCCAACTTCCACTCACCAAATGCCTTCCTCTTTCGCTATTTCATGCACTATTCCCCCAAATCCTCTTTCCAATCCATTCCCTCTATCTCCCCATCTCTGTTTTCTCTCAGTCATAGAATTTCAAAAACTGGAAGGTACTACAGAAGTGCAAATAAAACCTGAAGAGGACCACCATTCTACAAGTATACAATCAGCCTGAAGACTTGCAGTAGGACAGGTTGGGATAAAATCCATTACCTACTGGGGCAGCCTATTCCACTTTGGATAACTTTAATTGTTAGGAAGTTTTTTTCCTTCCATTAATCAGAATTTGCCTCTATGCAACTTCCATACAGTTTTACCTCCTGAAACCAAGCAAAACTACACGACTGCCATTCAAACAACTCAAAGCAATTCAGTAAAAATATTTATCAAATATTTGCTCTGTTAAAGGTACTATGTTAGGTGCTGGAAATATAATCAATGACATGGGCCCCACCCTCCAAGAATTATGTTCTCCTGGGTGAAATCACTCATATACAAATAAATAAGTACAAAGTAATTCAAGGGGGTAGCAGAGCATTAATAAGTGGGAGAATCAAGGAAGATTTCTCAAAGAAAGTGGCACCTGAGTTGAGCCTTTTAGAAAAACAAATATTTTAAGAGGCAGAACTGAGGAGAGAGTACATTCTGTTTTGTTTTGTTTTTTGGCTAGGCAAGGGGGTTAAGTGACTTGCCCAAGGTCACACAGCTAATAAGTGTCATGTGTCTAAGGCCAGATTTGAACTCAGGTCCTTCTGAATTCAGGACCGGTGCTCTATCCACTGTGCCACCTACCTGCCCCAAGAGAGTACATTCTGAAAAAGGAGGGTGACCTGTGTAGAGGCTTGAACATAGAAATTTAAATGCTGAGTTTGACAGAAAGCTAGTAGTCCACTTTGGCTGGAATAGAGTGTGTTAAGGTGAGCAATGTGAAACAAGGGAGATTGGAGTCAGATTGTGGATGACCTAAAATGCCAAAGTGAGAAGGTTGTCTCCTATCCCAAAAGCAATGGGAAACAATGAAGGTTTTTGTTGTCATTGTGGTTCATTTGTTTTAAGTAGGTGACATGGTCATAACCATGCTTTGGGAAAATTATTTGGGGAGCTATGTAGAGCAGTGGTATCACATTCAAAAAGAAACAGATCCCTACCGGCCACATATTGGTTTAGAAAACTACATGTCAAAATTGTTTGTTTCATTTTATTTTTGTTTTGTTAAACTTTTCCCAATTACATTTTAATCTGGTTCCTAGGGAGTTTTGTGGGCAGTGAGTTTGATACTTCTGATGTAGAAGATTGATTGGAAAGATCTGAAACAGCAAAACAAATTAGAAGACTATTAAAGTAATCCACATGAGAGTAATGAGGATCTGAAGCAGGATGATAGCTGAGTGAGGAGAGAAAAGGGAATGTATGTGAATGCTGTTTTGAATGTCAACTCAAGGGGACATGGCAACTAATTATACAAGAAAGGTGATGGAGAGGGGGAAGTGCAGGCTGATTGTGAAATAGTGAAGTCTGGGGGTGGGCTGGGTTGAAAGGAGGGCATGATGAGTTCTGTTTTGGACATTTCTGAGAAGCTGACACCTGATTAGGACTTGTAGACAGTGTCAGTGCTCCCATCTCCCTGCCCTAAGTCTTACTTCCCTAGATTAAACATTTCCAGTTCTTTCAGGTTTATAGGATTTATAGACTAAGGCTAGTCATCAAGGAGATCTCACAGTGTTATGATACTGGAGAGACTGGTTTTAGGCTTCCCTCTGTCTCTGTCTCTCTCACTCCCTTCCTTCCTCTCTCCCCTTAAATGAGAACTATAGATCTGTTATCATATACATGTATATATGTATACTATCAACAGGAATCACAACATACATATATACACATACATGTATATATATACATACATGCCTATACATACATACATATATACATACTACATACATATATGAATGAACTATGAATGTGCTCAGCGGCAAACTTACTTCTCCAGGATTAGGAAGTGCCCTTGGTAACCTCTTCTAGAATGTCTTATTTGAGAATCACAGAATATTACAATGAAAAACCTAAAATATGTCAGGAGCCCATGCAAGTGTGTTACCATAGTAACTACAGAAGGTCCCAGAATATTTCTACTGGATACTTCATTGTTACTATGGTAACCAAGTAAAGGTCCAGAATGGCTCACTGAAACAGTCTCTTTAGTTTTGCTACCACAGTAATAAGAGCTAGGAACCCACCCTCAGCCAGGTTTGGAGTCAGTTTGTATGCTGAAGTTTTTATGCTCTCTCTTTTCATGCTCCTCTGCCATACATCAAAAGAACATAGGATAGTCATCATCTCCCTAATGTCATGGTCCTTTTGGAGGACCAAGGGCAAACACAAATAGTAACTGTTTCTCTTTTGGCCAGCAGCCCTGAGGGTCTTCCTCTCCCAGTTTGATTTCTTTTTAATTAAAGAGGCCATCGCTTGACTCACTTCTTAAAGAGACCTAGTCTCTGAATGGGCATTACCTCACTCAAAGTGAGAACCTGAAAAGACCTTAGCTTAAAAGGGCCAGGGTCTTCCATTGCATTCTGGGCTATCTCCAATCATCCTGTTAATATCTGGCCACTGCACCCAGATGGCTCTGGAGGAGAAAGTGAGGCTGGTGACCTTGCATAGCCCTCACTCACTCAAATCAAAGTCAATTGCAAGTCATGCCATCATCTCCGTGATGTCATGGTCTTCTTCAGGACAAAGGACAAACACAATCACAGTAGGAGACCACATAGCAGAAGGAACAATGGTCTTGGAATCAGGGTACCTGCATTTGAACAACAGCTCTGCTACATACTAGTTGTGTGTTGCTGATCAAATCATTTCCCTTCTCTGTGGCACAACTTCTCTATCAGTCAAATGAGAGAGGTGCACTAGATTAGCTCTTAAAAATCTCATACTTCTCAACGTATAATCCTAAAATCTGGCTTTAGAGGGCCAAATTAAGACCAATGTAAAGCTGTTTCAGTAAATCAGATTTCTCTTCTATGTAAGAATGAATTTCCTAATAACTAAAGCTAATGTAATCTCAAGAGCTTAAAAATAATTAAATAATTATAATATATATATAATATATATGATAAATTAAAATTAAATACTTAAAATCATTAAAAATAATAATCTATTATATTTACATAGCATTTTATCATTTACAAGTATCTTCACAAATTATAGCAGTCCTGTGTGACCCTCTTTTCAGAGAAACTATAGAGGAAAGCCCTAAACAAGGTGAGAAACTAAGCTAGATAACCTGTAAAGTCTCTTCCATTCCATATGGATTGTCAGACTTGGTTAACATATTGGTTGGTTTTGCTGAACTGCTTTTCTCTTTTTTTATTCTTTGTTCTAAGGGATGAGTCTTTGGCTGTGGGAGGTATACTTCAGGAAATGAAAGTGATATAAAGCAAAAGACATCATTGGTTTGTTGTTTTTTTTTTTAAAGAAAATAAAGTTTCTTCCAACTTAGAACATCTGTAATTCCCTATCCGGCAAAAGACAATCCTTTGTTAAGTAAGAAGCTGGGACACAATAGCATAATTAGGGAAGGGTACGTGAACCACAAATTCTCCAAAGAACTTTTAGTAGTGGGTGGGTTTTGTACAGGCTGCCATTTTGAGGTGCTAGAGTGGGAGATATAGGGGAAGTAGGATCAGGCTCCTAGATCTAGCCTTTGGAGGCCACTTGCCCACAGGATTCTTCATCTGAAAGAAATCAGGAAATAAATCAAATGTCTGAATGGTACAGTTCAGAAGGAAAATTGTCTAAAGGTCATATTATTTCTATCCCTTTGGGGTTAGGTAAGGCTATCTCTAGGTCAAGTTCCTCAGGAACTCCACAATGACTCAGGAGGTTCCTATCCTCTCAGAAGCTAGAGATGCCCCTGGGGTGGAGGGAGTGTGACATCCTGGTACCTTACCCTGAAGAGATATTACAAAAAGTCTCCTATTTCCATTTATAGAACGAAAAATATTCATCTCTAATGGCTGCTCTTCCCCACATTCCACAACCCACAAGTAAAGACAAAACTGATAAGCAGCAGGCTTCACTCTCTGGCTGTGATGCTCACTGGCTCTCCATTATCTTACGTCTTTTTCCCATTCAGATCTGAGCGCAAGAATCGACTCATTAATCTTCTATCTTGTATCTTCATTCCATCTTCTGTGGGACTGGCTCTCACCGTCACTTTATCTGATTTAGAAGAGTTGCTGTGGTACCTAGATTCAGTGTCACATGAATCCTCAAAGGTCCTAGATAACACTTGGTAAGTTATTTCCTGAAATAGCAAAAATTATGATTTCCAGGTGGGTCCCTTTAGTCTCCATAGGCTTTCAGGAGCTTGTTAATGGTGAACTTTCTCCTGATCTTTCCTCAGAATGTGAGGGTCATGAAGGGTACTTCTACCTCCTCCATAGGCCCAGTCCTAGGATCCGAGTGCGAATCTGTTTGGTGTTAATGCCATACACTAATGGGTTAAGAACAGGGGGCACAAGGAGGTAGAGGTTGGCAAGAATGATGTGTGCCTGTGGGGGCACATGACGGCCAAAGCGGTGGGTGAAAAAGGAGAAGAAAGCAGGGATATAGAAGAGAAGAATGACACAGACATGGGCTCCACAGGTGC